AGGTGAAGGGGCAGCAAAGGAGGAGGAGGGGGGACCTTCAGATATTCCCCTTGCGCCGGACTTGAAAGTTTCTGTTTCTGTGAACTTTACATCAAACAAATATGGGCTGCTGCCGGCCCCCTTTGAAGTGGCAAGTGGGGGAGGAGTGGGTGGAGAGGTGGTTAGGGTGGGCTGTCAGGACTTAATACAGACCTCTGCCTCAACACGCTCTGTGGCAAAACGGACCCCGGTGCATCAAAAGGTCTGCTGGAAAAGGCACGAGATCAAGAAAAAAAACAAACGGACCTCTGAGTTACCTTTTCTATTGCATACAGGTGCATCTGATGCTACAGGGAGATCTCCCCGCTCCTCTTTGTCGCCCCACTTTCACGGCTTAGTCTTTTCTATGAAGGGGAAATCCTAAAAGACCAATGGATCAAAAACATAAAAATACCAACTTAAACTGCCAACATTTAACTCTGATCTTATACTATTGTGGAAAGGAAAGAACATCACAGTGGAGATAATAATGTCTGGCTTCAGTCTGCACAAATGAGTCGTTTCAATCAGTATTAACAACAGCCTGCAGCTGCTGCTGCTCATACTGTAAAATATGATCCTTAGGAATATACAATAAAACCCTGTTCCCACCCTGCTTTACAGATATATCTTATCTCGCATTTAAGAAGCCATATGTTGTTTACATGAACTCAAAACTATATTGAAACTAAATATAGATACATAGTTTTATATAGGAAAGACTTAGGTTTAAACTACTTTTTACTATAGATCAGACACAAGGACATTATCATATATACAGGGTGCTACATATTCATTAGTCCCTCTCAGAAAAAATTATAAATTAAACAAAGTAATGTAGAGTAATATTTTACTGCAGTGGGGATCTGATATGGAAGAATGTTTTATATGATTAAAAAATGCCTTTAGATGCTGTACTGATATTATCTTTTTGGGGAAAAAACGTCTTTACAAGTCCTGACCATCAGTGTATAACTCAAAATTTTTGAATGCCAAGAACAAGTCTTACAAGTTTGCTTTCACAATTCTTTGCTTGAATTAAGCCTATGCATTAATACAAACTTTAGCAGAAATTGCTTTGAGGCTCTATCAGATGCACTGGACATGGAGCTAAAGGAATGAAGAAAGCAAGAGAAATGGAATTAAAAGTCAAAATGAATCGAGGTAAAAAGAAGTAAAGAGAATACAAGACAACACCCTAGAAGTTTGCTTCTACACAACAGAAAGAGAGAAATTGAGAAACAAAACAGTCAACTACTCTATAACAACGTGAACAAAAAATTCCCAACACAAAATCCTAAATTCAGATTTTTTCATTAAATCTCTAGCAACCAGATACCTTTAGAATAAACACAAGGAATGACTTTCCTCTTTTGTGTGCTGTATGAATATTATTTTGGGAAACAATCCTATATTTTTTCATTAGTCTAGCACTCAGAATTGAGTGCCAAGAACAACTCCACCAGATTTACATTCATAAGTAGAGCTTTACTACATCCCAGCATATCACCATATAGCAAAATACTGACCTGATATCTTATTAATGCATTATTTCTTTGCTATAGATCAATTATTGGCTTAAAAAATTGTATCCGCTGTAACTCTTGACTTTACAAACATTTAAAATCTGCTGACTCATAATAGAACCAAGTTAGCCTATGGGCGGTTCTAGCCTGGGGCCAATGGGGGCCAGTGCCCCTGTAGATCCTGTCCTGTCCCCTGTTATGGCCCCTGTACTGAAGACATAATACTAAAAGAAAATCTAATGAAGATATGCGCTGGAACAGACATGGTTACTTATAGGTCCTTTGGTTCTATTTCATTTTTTTTCTTAAAAAATTCAGTTTTACTAATTATTTAAAAACAATAAGGTGATAATAAGGGTTCAATGGTGTTGAAATAGGATCCCAGTTTTTTTTTCAAAACACTTAAAAAAACACTCAAATTTTTACAGCTTAATTTATCAGCTTTTCTTGATTTCTAACTCTGATTTTATAGAAAACTGTCATTTTAACTCAAATTACAATAAAATATTTAAAATTCCTAAATTATGAGTGTATTTATTCCCAATATTAGCTTTATTCGATCTTTTAGATATTTATATAGCTAAACTTTTTTTGAGTTGCTTTTTGCTGTTCTATTTTGATTTTAACGATCATCCAAATGAATATTTTTCAAGCCAAAGATAAATATTTTCAGTTGGAAGAGATATGATTTTAATGAAACGTAATTGAATGGAAATTTCACCTTATGCAGCTCTCTTAATATATTTAGACAGATTTATTTGTCATTTTATTTACACAAGTGTAAAACAATAAGAAATTTCGTTTAGAATAGCTCTCTGGACAATTTCATTATTTTTTTTAAGTGCAGCCTTGAAAAATGGTTAAAATATATATATATATATATATATATATATATATATATATATATATATATATATATAAACATATGACAGTTCTTTTTTGTTCTTTTTTTTAATCCCTTGCCCTGTTTTATAATTCACTCTTTTCTGTGCCCCCATGAAAACTCGCTGGCCCCCTCCCGGCCCCCTGGTACATTTAGTCTAGAACTGCCACTGATTTTAAGAGAAAAACATAGAAAACGTCTTAAAAGCAAAGTCATGTATTTCTCAAGCTCCTAGGGTTATATGGAGAGGCGGGCACAGGGACCCTGCAGACTGCGTAAACACTGAGGGCCCGCCCTCCTGCTCTTTCCCATGCGCCAGCATCCACTGACACTGGCCACATTAAACACCCTGCATTCATAAAATAAGAAAGAAAGAAACGAGAAACCCTCCAACGAGAGCAAGCCCAGCCGCGTCCTACAGCCTCGCCGTTTCTGCGCCGCGCACGGCATTAGAAAGCCCTGAAAGTCTACAGAGGGATAGAAAGAAAAAGAGAAAAAAATGGCCAAAACTGAGAGGCAAAGACGAAGTTTGAAAAGTGAGGAATTCTTCTTTGACTCAGAAGCATCTCTGTTGGATCAGCAGGATTTCGACATGTCCAGCTGCGCTTTTAATGACGTCTTCAACACCAAAGAATCCCACATGGAGCAGATCACTTTCCTGAAAAATGTCCAGGTCCTGCTGGAGGCTGCGAGGTTTCTGGAGAGCTCCGAGCGCAAGGACGGAAGTGAGTTCATCCTTGCTGCGTTTTGATCCCTTTGCATTTTTTCTGGATTTCAGAAGGAAAAAATAGACTTCTTTGTAAAAAAAAAAAAAAAAAAAAGAAAAATCAGACAACAAAGGCCCGAGTTCATTGAACTCACTGTCTGCAAAAAGCACCCTCTATATGTTCCAGTAGAGTAATACGTGCGATTGGAGCATTGCGATTAGAAATGAGAAAAACAGTTTGATTTATTTTTAGACACTTCTGCATGCGTGTTGTTTTTTATATGGCAGCATAGTTGCTGCCCTAAAGGCAAGACAGGGATCTTTATTTTTTTCCTCCTAAAGCAGGTTTTATTGCGATTTAGCTGTGTGCAAATGTAATAAAATCTGATCACATTGCGGCGTCCTTCGGCTCAGTTTAGGATGATGTCATTGCCTCGCAGACTCTGTGGTAGAAAATGATCATATGTAACAGAAAATACGCAATAGATGCATGTGAATTTTATTTGACATGTAATGCTGTAGCTATTAGATGTGCAAAAATGTCCATTTTGTTACCATTTATACAACTATGAATAAGTTATGAGACTTTTTGCAGATGGCAAATCTCTATGCATTGAGGCCATGGCTTCGAATATATATATATATATATATATATATATATATATATATATATATATATATCTCCTATTGATGTCATATTTTTGAGTCGGGAATGTTTTTTTTTTGTTTGTTTTTTTTAAGAGGATCTTAGAAGATTTTTCATTTATGCAGGTGTCTACAAAAGTTGATTTTCTTTTATCGCTGAAAGATTGACAACTTGCGCATGAGAAGGGAACTTTTCACATGTAACGTGGGAATCTTCATCAGATCGCTGGAAACTGCTCCTCTCTCCCAATTGTTTGCTTCCTGCTATTTGGGGGCGTGCCGCGCTGCTTTCCACATGGCGCAAACCACTTCTGCAGTTGGTCAGCTGCCTGTTAAACCCTCCTCGTCCGTCAAAGTTCCCCACCAATCAGTCCTGTGCTCGTCTCTGACGTCACGTGTTGCTGGGCATGGCTTCCGTCGGTGAATACACTCCCATTGCCGCGGAGAAGTCTGGGACTTTTAGTTCTTTTCCTTTAACGCCTCCTTAGTCATATCTTCGGTTGGACAGACGGTTCTTAAATATCACTATATATAAAAATTAATCGAAAAAACAACAGTAATAATTACGTCTCTTTGATTTTATATTGCTTTTGTAAATGGACATTTAGAGAAGTTTCATAGGCTAAACACGCTTCCATGCGATACAAAAATAGTAACTGGGTTCATGTTTAGTTATTTGATACATTTGATTAAAGTCTAGATTTGAACATACATAAGTAACCAATTATATATTCAAGTTTAATAAAATACATATTAGAATACAACCTATAGATTTTGATTTATAATACTTTTTCACTTATCAATGCAATTTATACCTTAGTGACTACCCTAAATGTCTAAAGATACAATTCTGTTCCTATTTTAATGCATTTATCTCTCATTTGTAGACAATAACATTTATATATTCAGCATCTATTATTTTTTTAGATTATTGCACGTTTGGCTCTATCCTTGGACTCGTGGAGTCTGTTTTTAGGGTTTTTTTATGGTCATTTAGAAATACAGAATAAATAATAGACAAACTCTCATTGCCTAGTTTTTATATGAATTGAAAAAAATCTAAGAAATGGTCTAGAAAAAAAAAAAAAAATCTGATTTGTAGCCTCAAATAGTCGTTTCAATCCCATTCACCTTAATACTCAATGTCCCATAGTGCACCGCGTTTAAAGCAGCCTTTTCCCCTCCCCTCCTTAGTTCCTGCCTCCCAGCTCAGCAGCTAGGTAAACAAACAGGACAAGAGAGGAAACGAGCAGCAGCAGACGTTTTTTTGCTGGGTTCCTACCCCCCTTTGAGATATATATTTTTTAAATTTTTTGTAAGCTTTTTTTGTAACAAGACAAAATGAAATGCTGTTTCATAGAAAAACAGTTATTTTAATACACGTGTACGGATACTTTTTCTAGCAAAAATCTAAAACTACGGGTTTTTAGTATCAGTAGCAGCTTGCTAGCTCGGGTAATAAGGCTTTATGAATTGTCATTTAAATTTAAGATAAATACTAAGTCGTATTTACCCAGTTAGTGCTGATGTAGTGCTGTCTTCCATAAAAAAGAAGAAAAAAAAACGGTCCTGCAATCGTTTAGCTAGCATTTCACGCTGAGCAGGACAAGAGAAGATAGGGAAGAATGACTGCTGTCCAGCTTATTAATATCCAACGGTTATTGGAGGCGGCTGAGTATTTAGAAAGAAGAGACAGAGGTGATATGCTTTATTCTTTTAAAGGCCTTTAATGGCCTCCCAGAGCTGGTTCCTGCCTGCCTTTTCCACATTGATCTGCTGTCATTTATCACCGTTGATTCTCTTGTTTTCAGAGTGCGAACATGGATATGCTTCGACCTTCCCTTCAAACCAGAGCACAAACCACCAGAGGCAGAGGAAATTCCGAAATAAAAAGTTCATCAGTAACCACAACAGGTAATATGCTCTCTGTCATGTCATTTATTCCTGGAGAAATGTATTGTGCTTTATGAATGTGGACAAATATTTACCTATAAATGCATTTAAAATCCACCCAGACTAAAAAGAACTAGAAAAAGCTTTATATATATTCTTTACATAATACTTGATTCATTTTTAAACCATAGTGTTGAGGCTTAGAACATGTAAGAAGGCATTTTTGATGTAAGAGTCGTTTCAACAGCTGATTGATAAACCCACTTCCTGATCCAGGTTAAAAAAACTGACACAAGAAACGGCATAGTGTTGCCCCATTCATTTGTAATAATTGTGAAATATTTAGGCTTAATTAAAGAAAAAAAGTACTGTTGTTTTTTTATATTCTTTTATTTGATTCCTGACGTGTTAATTCTCTTCCATGTTAAACGACTTACAGCTGTACTTTCTGTTTCACTATAAAGAGGACTCTAATTGTATTTAAAAAAATCCTTCAAATAACGCCCTAACAGTAGTATTTGATTAAGGAAATGATTATAATTTTAAGTTTCAATAATATTCTGTAAAAATTTTAAAGGTATTTACTAAAACATATCTGGTTTTATAAAACAGGCAACCAACGTTGAAATGATTACAGCTATAATATTTTAGTTTATATTTTTGTAGCTACTTAGTTGCATGAATTGCACCTACATTTTGAATAACGTAGCTTTAGAGTAAATCTGCTTAAAGAGTGCAGAATAGTTTGAAAAAGGTTTACCATCTTAGGAGTGTTGGGTTGTTTCCCTTTTGTTTTTCATGAACAGAAATTACCAAATTTATATTTTTTGCTTAGCAAGTGTTACGCCCACCAAGGACACAACATATTTGAGGACACGAGACAAAAATGAGGGTTCAAAAAAAGATATTTTATTAATAAATTCTCTCCGTTTTAGTTGTTCTTGGTTCGGCTTCTTCAGATGTTCTGCGAAGAGAAAAATAGTTAACGGCCCTCAAATCCCGTGCCCCAAAAAAATAAAAAAAGAAACCCAAAGTAACAACAGAAAGTTGGACCTGGCAGGCCGATCAAACAGAATAAAACGGTACAGCAGGGGGCCAACCCTATACAGGGCCGTCGAAGCCCCTACTGGTACCGGTCTAAAGGCAAAAAATAACCTAAGCGAAAGAAAAATCGAAAACAGGACTACCGGTCCCGCCAGGCCAAAAACCTCAAGAAAAAAGTAAGAAAAAGGTAACAAAAAATAACACATGGCAGGCTGGAACGTCCGCTGCAGGCCGCAGCGACAAGACCAGTGCGCACCGCGCACGATGGAGCAAATGAAGCAGGTGGGAAGTGGCGTCCAAACGAGGTTGGAAAGGAACGCGCTAACGTGCTGAAGGCCAGCCTATTTATAGGCGGACGACAGCACCACAAATTAACATAATTAACTTGCTAAAAGAATCCCAAAATATATTAACAAAAGATCCTTCAACTAAAGTTTATAAGAAACAAAGAAAAGAAATGGACAAAAATCATAATGTGCCCGAAGCACATAACACCCCCACCCAAAGACTCTGAATGGGGTCTGAAGTAAAAAAAAACCCCAACCCATTCAGAGAAAAAAACAAACAGGACTAGAGACGCGAGAGTGCGTCGGCCACTACGTTGTCTTTACCACGAACATGCTGTATAGAGATGTTAAAGGATTGGAGTCGCAAAGACCAGTTCATCAAGCGGCGGTTTTTATTCCGCATGCGAGCCAGAAAAACTAACGGATTATGGTCCGTAAAAACAACCACAGATCCGCTAGAACCTCCAACATACACCTCAAAATGTTCCAAAGCAAGGATCAACGCTAATGCCTCCTTCTCAATGGTGGAATACCATCTCTGATACTTATCCAGTTTCTTAGAAAAATAAGAAACCGGATGTTCCACCCCATCAGTACCATCCTGGAGCAGGACAGCTCCGACACCAGAATCACAAGCGTCCACAGCCAACTTAAATGGTACATCAAAACGAGGAGCAGACAACACAGGAGCATTAACCAGCAAATGCTTAGTTTGCTCAAAAGCAGATTGACACCGATCAGACCAAATAAAAGCCACTTTAGGGCTAAGTAGGTCTGTCAACGGGGCAGCCACAGAGGAAAAGTTTTTACAAAACCCCCTGTAGTAGCCAACCATCGCCAGATAGCGGCGTAGCTCAGTACGAGTGGTGGGCACTGGGACAGAAAGAATAGCCTCTACTTTAGCCTCAACGGGGCGCACCTGACCTCCCCCGACCCTTTTTCCAAGATAGGTCACCGTTGCGTGGACGAATTGGCGTTTAGAAAGATTAACCGTCAAATTAGCCTCACTCAGACGCGTAAAAACAGTTTTTAAATGGTCAACGTGCTCAGTCCAGGTAGCAGAACAAATCACCACGTCATCCAAATAAGCCTCACAGAATGATAAACCAGACAAAACAACATTCATTAGCCGTTGAAACGTCGCTGGGGCGTTACGCATCCCAAAAGCCATCACGGTGTACTGAAGGAAATCATCGGGTGTGACAAAGGCGGAAATCTCCTGGGCTCTCGCCGTTAAGGGCACCTGCCAGTACCCCTTTAGCAAATCCAGCTTCGTAACGAACTGGGCAGCCCCCACATGGTCCACACAATCCTCCATACGAGGGAGTGGATAGCAATCCGGCCTAGTCACCCCATTTACCTTCCTGAAGTCCGTACAAAAACGGTCCTCCACGGTGAACTCCACGCACTACTGCTGGCAACAGCAAGTCCATGTTCCACCATGTACTCCACCTGCGTCTGCAAACGGCGCCGTTTGTCTGGGTTCACTCTGTACGGGTGTTGTTTAATTGGCCTGGAATCACCAACGTCAATGTCATGGCTGAGCACACGAGTCTGAGTGGGAATATCTGCAAACAGAGACCTATGAGACTGGATCAAATGAACCACATCAGCCTGCTTGGAAAAATCAAGGTGTGACAACAAGAGAGGCAAGTTCCCCAACACCGCTGAATTTGGAACCCTCCCTTCAGTAACAGCCGGGGAGAAAACGTCATCTTCAGGTTCAGCACCGGACAGCTCCTCCCGTGCATCTGCAGCTGCCCCGACATCTGCGTCATCTCGTTCACTGGAAACACAACTGATAGATTTATGCAGAGCAGATGCACGTTCGACGTACGGCTTCAGCATGTTCACATGACATAAGCGTGAAGTGCGCCTCCGATCAGGAGTAGAGATCAGATAATCACGATTACCAACCTTTCTCGTGATTGTATAAGGCCCACTATAGCGCGTTTGCAAGCTGGAACCAGGAACCGGAAGTAACGCTAACACTTTCTCCCCAGGCTGAAAAACTCTCAAAACTGCCCTTCTGTCAAACAAGGACTTCATTTTAGCCTGTGCAGTTTTAAGATTCTCTTTAGCAATCTCACACGCACGATTCAACTTCATCCGGAAATTACTAACATAGTCTAACAAATTCAGGTCAGATTTTTCACACAACCACTTCTCTTTCAACAGCCTTAAAGGGCCGCGAACAGTGTGAGCAAAAACCAAGTCCGACGGGCTAAACCCCAGAGATTCCTGAACCACCTCCCGAATAGCAAACATTTGTAAATGTACACCTTCATCCCAGTCTTTTTCAAACTCCAAACAGTAGGTGCGAAGCATTGTTTTTAAAGTTTGATGGAAACGCTCGAGTGCGCCCTGACTCTCTGGGTGATAAGCGCTGGAATGACAGTGCTTTATGTCCAATTGACGTAAAACCTGTGCAAAAACTCTAGACATGAAATTAGACCCCTGGTCAGTCTGCACAACCCGAGGTAAACCAAACAATGAAAAAAACTTTGTCAATGCTTTAACCACTACGGGCGTAGTTATTTTACGCACCGGAAAAACCTCTGGAAAACGAGTAGAGGTGCACATCACCGTTACTAAGAATTTATTCCCCGCTTTGGTTCGAGGCAACGGACCCACACAGTCAACCAATACTCTCTCAAATGGTTCAGTGATGGCTGGGATGGGATACAAAGGAGCAGGAGAAATCGTCTGATTTGGCTTTCCAGACACTTGACAAAAGTGACACGAATTACAATAGCGCACGACATCGCTCTTCAACCCTGGCCAAAAGAAATGACGCAAAATGCGATCATAGGTCTTTCTGATGCCAAGGTGACCCGCTAACGGATTATCATGTGCCAACTGCAAAATTTCTGAACGATATGGAGATGGAACAACAATCTGCTTCACCACACTCCACTCTTCAACAGGAGACACATTCAAAGGGGTCCATTTACGCATCAGAAGACCATCATCCAAAAAATAGCCAGTAGAAATGGAGTCAGGCTTATCAGTTAATGCATCGCCGAACAATGACTCCAAACTCTTATCACTTTTCTGGAGCTCGATCAACTGCTTCCTAGACCATGATAGCGTATTCACATCCAACATGTCATCCTCCACAGTTCGCTTCAATGGAACATGTTCGGATTCAGCGTTGAACAAAAAACTTCCACTCAAGTCAAACTCATCTTTCCTCTCGGCTTGATGACGTTTAAGTGCTGCACGCGTAACTGCGCATGACGTGAAAAACACCTGGGAATTTACGGGCGAGCGCATCTGGACAGTCGCTCAACACCGGAACAGGTGTAACCTCTGGGGTAACCAATACTCGACCCCCAGCCAAATCGTTGCCCATGATCATGGAGACGCCCGCTATTGGAAAACTAGGACGCACCCCAACCACAGCGTCACCAGACCACAGCTCAGACTGGATCACGATTTTATGCAGAGGAACGCAGATTTCTTGCATGCCAAAACCACGCACTGGAACATCAGAGCCAATCGCAGTGTCGTTATTCAACGGCAAGATTCCCTCCATAATAAAAGATTGAGAGGCAGCAGTGTCTCGTAATATTTTTACAGGGATCTTTTCACCAGTTAGAGACAAAGAAACAAATCCATCCATAATGAAAGGCTTAAAATCAGCATACTCGCAAGGCTGTGTTGAAAGCGGATGAACATCGCCTTTCA